CCAGGCTCGTAATCTGTCATCCCCCCGTACCGCCCCCTCTGCTGCTCCCCAGGCCCAGAGGTTTTTCATGGGCCCCCGTACCGACTCCAAATGCTGCTCCAGGCCCGTAATCGTCATGGGCCCCGTACGCCTCCCCATGCTGCGCCGGGTCCAGATTGTGTCATGGGTCCCTGTACGGCCTCCCATTGCGCTGCCGGGGCCTGTAATCTGCCAGGGCCCCCTCCCGACATTGCTGATGCCTCCACCGCCACACTGTGGCTCCACACTTTGGTTTTGGCCCCGTGACTGGCCAAATGAGTGAAGTGTGCGGTGATTCTAAGATCGACGGCACTCATCTGCATGTCATAACTGCCTGACAGTATTATTTCTCTTCCCCAGCAGACTCCAAGGGCATTTAAATTAAAGGTACAGTGTTCAGCACTAATATTAAGTCTCTCTGAAGCCTAGAAAGACCCTTTTTTAAGTTAAATTCACAGCGAATATATTCGACTCGAATCGAAATTTTTCCACGAATTCGCCGAATCAGTCGAATCGAATTTTTGAATACTTCGCTCATCTCTAGTCACAACATATACCCTGTTTGCACACATGCACTACAAAAGAGCCCCACTGGCTGACAGCAACACCCAGACTCTTTCCCCTGCTGGTTATTGCAGTACATGTAATCACAAGAAGTTGATATCAAGACAAATTCAATTACTTAGGGCTTATGTACACGGGGCCTTTGGAAAACCCTTCTGAATGATGGAAACTGACTGCTGGAAAACGTAGGTTTAAAAATGTCAGTTTAGCAGCGTTTGCATACTGCATTTATGCGCGTTTATGTGTTTGCGTTTAGAAGCGTTTTTTTTAAAAGATAACCTCAGGAGACCTTCCCAAATGCCCAGAATGCACTGAAAAACAGTAAAAAATTAACTATTTCAGACATTTTGAGAGGAATAGAGAGAGAACAAGCAAAGAGAGCAGTATGTGTTGAGATGACCTGGTTGTATTCACTATGGATCCCATCATGAGCATAATGCGGCACGTTCTACCATTTTTTCCTTCCCGCGAAACCTGGAACTGACTGCACTGGTGTACTGGGTCCATTTGAATACATGGAAAATGCTTTGCATGCATTTCTGATGATGAAAAAAAGGCTCTGGACAGCGTCTGGACATGGAACAGTTAAAGAGGCATCAACAGCGAGGCTCTTACTTTACTTTCCATTCATCATAAACATCAGCATCAGAGGTTGGTCATCAGCTCTGAGGAAGGGGATTCATCCCCGAAACGCGTCAGCCATTTGACCGCACTGACAGTGAGAACACCTTGCCCGCCGTTGTGGCCATTGTCATTTTTCTATGCTTTTTCGATACATGCTTCGTCTGTGAGTATGTTTTTATGATTTAATTCCTACAATAAACCTTGGATAATGCACTAGGTGTGTGCGCTACCTGTTTTCTCTCTATCCAGTGGCTGATTTCCCCGTCTGAGGAGGGCTGCACCCCTGGAACATTTCCTTTTGGTTGTCGCTGTCCTGGTACCCTTGGCTTCCCTTTTGGCTGTGCATATCCTGAGGCGCTGGAGAGTACATACGCTATGGAACAGTTAAACAACGCTTCTAAACGCAAATGCTTATAAACACGATTAACTGCATTTACATGCGTTTACAAGCATTTGGCAGTTTGAAACGCTGGTAAAATTTACTCCTGTAAATAAATACCACCAAAATAAAGTTTTATCTGTCTCAAAAAAATGCTAAAAAATGCATATGGGTACAGTGTTGCATGACTGCGCAATTGTCATTCAAAGTGTGATAGCACTGAAAGCTAAAAATTGGCCTGGACAGGAAGGGGGTAAAAGTGTCCGGACTTGAAGTGGTTAAAGAATAGTAACATGCATATTACCTTGAACAAAATAATTACCTTAATGCTTTCTAGATCTTGACCAAAGTCATCAGACTCTGCAATGGTCTTCTTGCTGTCCAGCCAGACCTCTAAGAGACCTGCTTCCTTCAAATACTGGAAGAGCTGATACTGTTCCTGCAGCTGATGCCTGCGCTGTTCTACCTTCTCCAGCAGGGAGTGATATTCCTCTAGCAGTGACTGCAGCTTTGGGATCACTGTGGAGCTACAACAGACACAGGCATTAGTATCATCTCACTATTTGCTTCCTTGAAAAAAAGTTTTACTTTAAAAGTTGTAGAATGCAATACCTTCACAATCAACAGTTTTCTCTAATTTTTACATATATTTTAAACATACAGTAAAATTAAAATGTATTTATGTGTTTTAGTATAATACAACTCAGTCTTTGGTACACTATTTATTAAACCTGGACCACATGTCCTATATGAACCAGACCACACTTCCCTGTACCACTAAATAGCCTATGTGGGTATCTATTATCTGGATACAGTAAAAGTTACATATTAGAGAATATTGCAAATCCATTGTAAAAAAGGCATACGAAAAGGCTTTCATCAATATCAAAACATTTTGATCTTTGAAATAAGGAATACCTTAATTTTTTTGCTTTTGTTATCGGTTATGTGACTGCTTTTAATTCCTCTCTCTAGAATGTCTAGGATGGTAAGCGATGCGAGCGTGTTGTTTCTGAAGGCATTACTCCCTCCTCCTGAAACGTAACTCCCACCACCTCTTATCAATTGAACTGAGGTGGGGATGCACAGTTATCCAAGAGATATAAAAAAATTACTTTCATGGCTCCACCTCCACTATCCTAAATTGAGGAATATCCCCCTTTTTGGAGACTTGTAAGGATAATGAGAATTATATGCAGCAGTAATTTGGTACAAAACTAAGTATAGATTTTCATTCAAGAATTTTTGTTTCAAGAATATTCAAAGGGCAGGAAGTGAAACCTTTTCTTGATCAAACAAATTTTTGGCCAGTGTATGTGGTTATCAATCAGAAATTACATTGCTTTTAAAACCGAATGTTAAAAGCAAAAGATACATTTTGAAGGATAATCATTCATTCTTTCATCAAATGTGCAAATAATTTTCATACGGTTTTTCTTACGAATATTCCAAAAATCTATACGTGTATGGCCAGCTTAACAGCAGTAATGAAAATTACAGTAATGTATTATTCTTACCTTTCTGGGTTGTTGCTATCAATTTGTAAGTTTCTGCCTGTGTCTCTTAATTTCTCAATTCTAGGAGAAAAACCTTCCAGGTCCCGGATGGTGGTGTCTAACTTGCGAAGTAGTGCTTGTGTGGATTCCTCATTCTTCCCACTGTCAGAGGATTTAATGACAAAGCCTCGTTCCGCCATCCATGCTTCGGCCTCCAAAAGCTGATTGGAAAAGAGGTCAGATGATATAAGTGAAGTCTCAGAAATAGTTTTCAAGATAGAAATTTATCAGTGTAATAGCTAAAGTAAACCACAAATATTAATCATCACAGTTTTTAAATTCAACATTCCTTTGGAATGTGTATATGTGCCAGGTAACAAGGCATATATACACCCATCAGCCATAACATTATGACCACCCACCATAACATGACCACCCACCTAATACTGAGAAGGTCCTGCTTTTGCCACCACATTAGCCTGGACTCATTGAGGGATGGACTCCAATAGACCTCTGAAGGTATGCTGTGGTATCTGGCACTAAGCTGTCAGTAGCAGATCCTTTAAGTCCTGTAAGTTGTGAGGTGGGCTTTCCATGGTTCGGACTTGTTTTTCCACAAAATCCCACTGATGCTTGATTAGCTTGAGATCTACAAAATTTGAAGGCCAAGCCAAAACTTTGAAGAAACCTTCTTCCTTTGCTCTGTGGTCCATTTCTGACACTCATGTGCCCATTGTAGGTGATTTTGGCTGGACATGGGTCAGCATGGGCGCCTTGACTGGTCTGCGACTACGCAGTCCCATACACAACAAACTGCAATGCATTGTGTCTTTTGACACCTGTTTATCAGAACCAGCAATAACTTATTCAGCAATTTGAGCTACAGTAGCCCTTCTATTGGATCAGATTACACAGGCCAATCTTCACTCCCCACATGCATTAATGAGTCTTGGCTGCTCATGACCCTGATGCTGGTTTGCCAGTTTTCCTTCCTTGGATCACTTTTGGTCAGTCCTGACCACTACAGACTGGGAATATCCCACAAAAGTTGCAGTTTTGGACTTGCTCTGACCCATTTGTCTAACCTTTGCAATTAGGCCCTTTTCAAATTCGCTCCAATCCTTATCCTTGCCCATTTTTTCTGCTTTCAATATATCAGCTTCAGGGACCACATGTTCACATACTGCCTAATGTATCCCACCCACTTTCACATGCCATTAGAACAAGATAACCAATTTTATTCACATTACATGTCAGTGGTCATGTCCGTGTATGTAGATTTATATAAGAAACAGGTATTTGGTAATGTTACCTCTGTGAGAAACTGCTGGGCTTCGCAGGCTTGTGTCAGCCTTGTTCTCCTACGTTCAGATTCAGCTTTCAATGTTTCTACAGCCACTTCCAGCTGATGTAGCCTCTCGTCAATCTCTTTGCTGGCAAAATGGTTGCCTCTCACCAGCTTACGCCCGGTTCCCATCACAGCTTTGGTCAAAGCCTCACGGCTGCTGATCTCATTTTCTAAATTCTGAAAAACAGGAGAGGGAAAGGTTTTTACAAACAGATATGTGTCACAATGGGCAACTTTCTGGTGCGGGCCAGTCCGTTCGTAACATGTTACATGTTACACCCTTATTATGGCTCTAACATGTAACATCTTACAAAAGGTTAACTTATCCTATAACTTGTAAACAACTTTGCAGTGCGTTTACCAGAATCTTAAATTTGGTGTCTTTTTTTAAAGAAACACTGATTACAGTTGGAAAAAAAAGTGTGTGTTTTGTCATGTTTTGCCTATGGATTGCAAAAATGTAATCATTTTTGCAGGACAATATCACCAAAGGATAGCCTTGTTATTCCTAAAAAATGATATACAGTATTATTACATTGTTGTCTTAAATAATTGTCAAATAAACAGGCCCAGAGCCTAAATTTAAAAATTGATCTGGTCTACAGGGTATATGCAGGTGTGAGCTGTTATAAAAACTATTTTATTTATCCTTTTTTAGAGTGTGTGTGTTTTTTAATTTATGGTAGCTTCATTTTAGTCTTCTTTGCTTTTGTATTTGCGTTATTTCTTTATTTTTGTGTGCTTGTGGTTGCATTTGGTTGTTATTTGTTGCTGTCACTTAAAACATTTTCTTTTTCTTTTCGCAGTCAATTCTTACAATTATCTTCATTGTAAAACAATGAAGCTAATGAGGGGGGCATTTTTTTTTATCAGGTCCAGTATAGTTGAATGCAGCTTTTGTAACCTTCAGAAGCCATTTAAAGCCAGTTGCCCCCTTAAAACCCTTTTTTGCTACAATTTCTGGGAAATAAAAATTCAAAATGTCACTCATTCCTAGCTACAATTTTTCTATCCCCATATGTTGCAGTTTTACCAGACCTGGTGTTTCTCCAGCAATGCTTGTGCAGTAGTCAGTGACTGTCCACACTCCTTGGAGGAGGCCAGAGGCATCTTTTCTTGTATCCATGTTAGCTCATCATCGATGTCCTGGAAAAACTGATCAAGTAACTTCTTGCTTTCCAGAGCTGCTCTGCACTCTTGTAGAGGCTCGTTAAGGCTTTTGTATCTATCATTGGAAAATAAGTAACACTAAATTATTCAATTACAACTTAGTCTAAGTGCTGCCCATAAGGGTCTTGGATTGTTCCAGAAAAAGGAAAAAAAAAAAACCTTGCCAAATCATGCCAATCCTTTCTTGTATTAACCTAAAGCACCTCTAACCTCAACACCTCTTCAAAACAGCAACACAACTTTTGTTTATTTTTTTTGTATAAAACTTTGCCCCAGACTAAGGTCCATTTAAGTGGGAATAATGGCACTCACAAAATGGCATCACAAGTGAATGGAAATGTAACAACATTAGATCCAGATGCATGAAGTGGTCTGAACCAATAAGAGGGTTTTTTATCAACATTTTCTTTGAAGGGTATTTTTTCAACTCTTCTGGCTAAACGCAGTTAAAGTGGAACTTTGGATAAAACTAAAGTTTTCTAATACTAGTATTAGAAAAACAGTGTTTGTTTTTCTGAGTCCCTCCATATCATAGTTTTGTTACCTGTTGACCTGGTCAGTAGATTTTTTTTCCACTTCCTTAGCAAGGTGACAATGTTGCTTGTTTTGCAGGGAAATCAAGGGCAATATTTGTCACCCTTGTGGGCAGTGTAGTCTTAGATGGACATTGGGTAAGTGAAAAACAAATTAAAGTATAACGCCAGGTAACACTTTAAGAGATACTTTTGTATTTGCACTAACAGTTAAACAATATCACAAACAGTGTTGTTTTGTTGCAAGTGAACTACTATGGCTACACTCAACTCAAGGAAAAAAGGTTGAAATCATATGGATAAAAGCTGACTGTTGTAAGCACCTCTGTCAGTGCTACATGGCTCATGGCTCATCCCAGCTCTGTAACTCCTTTGCAGGACAGGTTGACCTGCATGTACAGTAAGTGCAGAGAAAAATATAAAGGCCTAAGAAATAAAAAAAAATTATATATACTGATTATTATTGCACTGTAATAACATGCAGTTATCTGGAATAGAAATTTTTTTTTTATAGCATTTAAGTCCACCACATAAATAGCACTGCAGCACCGTACTCATGCCAAGATGGCGCATGCTGCATTTCAAAAATAATAATTTTTTTTTGGAAATTTTTTATAGTTAGATCTGTAGTGTAAATATTGCAAAAGTCCAAGCCACATGCAGGCAAATATACTGCACTGCTAGGGATAAGTTTTGCAGTTTACAGACCTGCATGTAGAGCAATGCTTGCAGAATAAGGGTCAGTGAACGTTCAGCACTTCCTTGGAGAAAAAAAAAGCCATACAAAAAAAAATAGCAAATCTATTGCCTTGTATCCAGTTAGCTCATCATCCGAAAAAAAAAAAAAAGGAGTCATGCCAAAAAAATGGAAAGAAAAAAACAAAAAAAAAAAAAAAAAAAAAATTTTAAAAAAGAGAATAAGAAAAGATTTATAAAAAAAAAAAGAAAAAATAAAGAATTGAAAAAAGGAAAAATACTGAAAAAAGAGGAATATGATAGTAAAAAAAAATGAATGCTTAAAAAAAAATAAAAATCGATTTTCTTTTATAAGTAAGTAATGTTTTAAAACAAATTATGAATTAGATAAAAAAAATAAGTTTGATCTGTAGTGAAAGATTAAAAATGAATATTCAGTGCCAGATGGCGCAGTCATTTCAAAAATAGGATAAAAAAATGTGGAGTTGCAAAATAAGGGTTGGTGTCACCCCTTTAGAGGGAAGGTACGAGAAAGTAGTCTATTGGGTTTAAAAAAAAACAAAAAAGAAAAAAAAAAATGAATAAGAAAAAATGTAGTGAAAAGGAAAAAAAATAAAAAAAGAAAAAAAAAAAATTTTTGAAAAAAAAAGTAAGTAAAATTCTGCCTTAAAAGGGAGTTGTAGGTGTTTAGTGGATAAAAGTTTCTATTTAATGTGTTGTAAGTTGGGTTTTTTGGTGGGAGGCTACAAGTAGTTGTTGATGGCAGGTAACTCATCTTAGAAGTTTAAGTTCAGTGTAAGTAATTAGGCCTAGGAATTAGTATATAACCTGTTTAACATTTATATAAAATAGAAATTGATTAATAAATAGGTTTAAAAAATTTGGAATCCTTTTAAGAAAAAAAAAAAGAAAGAGAAAAAAAAGGGAAGATAAAACTGTAGGAAAATTAAAAAATAAAAAATGAATAGAAATGGCGTATGTGAGAGTGGAATGTAGATTGTATCAGCAATTATATGCTGTGGACTGTTTTAAGCGGTTTCTAAAAAAAGAAAGTGATTAGCACCAACACAGTAGGGTGAAAAAAAAAGGAATGTTTAGGGATCTGATCACTCAGAAATGACCAATCACATTGCCAAGCATATGACCAACTTTACAATTTGTTTCTTTTTAGAGAGATGGCAAGAAAGCAGGAAACTATTTATCCAGGGAATATCTACTATTTTGGAAAAATGAAAACTGTTAAAAGTGTCAGAACAGGAAGATAGTGAGGGTATTTGGAAATCTGATATATGTATACAGACTGATCACAAACATGTATTATAGATTGCTAACCTGTGAACTAGAATTCTAACTCTGTCTTCTATTTCATCTGCCAGGAAGTGTCCTGCTTGTCGGAATTCACGAGTCTTATTTGCCAGGACTTGCAGTCTCTCCCCATGGCTTGTGATGCTCTCTTCAAGGTCTCCAAGTTTCTCAAGTATTATTAGATCTTTAGTTTTATTAGCGGAGTCCAGCTTGGCTTCCACTTGGTCTAACCACTTCTCCAAGTCATCTATGCTCCTTTGAAACTGCTGTGCCTAAAGCAGAAAGGTTGACAGGGATATTATACCATTATCACATGGCATATTGCTAAAAATGGAAGAAAGACAAGCTATGCAGTCTGTCTTTAAACTACTGATCACCTTATAAGCATCCTGGAGCTTCTGTCCTTTTTCATTACACTTTTCCTGAAGTTCCTCCCACAGCTCTTTCCATTTCAGCAAGTCTTGTCTGTATGATCTCAGATGCATAATGATTGGCTTGCAACATCTTCTCCCCATCCTGCAAAATTTGGGCTCAGTCAAAAGCAGCAAGGTCAATTGTCTACTTGTGTAGTGGGGAAAAGGATCACTATTCAAGATAGCCAATAGGATTGTTACTCTCCTACTAATGTACTTTAATACATGTACTTCCTACATGATTACTTTCATAAAGGAGCCTCACTTAGTGCAAATAAAAAAATCAAAGACAGTACTCAATTGTTCTTTTTGCAAGGGCACAGGGCACTAATACAGTTGCGATTACCTCAAGCAAATAATTTATTAACAAAAAACCTAGTGACTTTGAATGGTTTTATTGCTTGCAGAACTCATTGATTTTATCGTAATAATCTTTGTATGAATGTCTTACAGCTTTGATGGCATCCAGCCTGTTGCGATTTGCTTTAATCTCTGCCTCAAATGTCTGATGCTTCTGTAACTTGGTCTGCAAGTTGCTGGGGTCCCTCCAGCTGTCATCCATGGCAATGCTGTTTTTTTCTAGCTCTCAGCATCCATGCTCCCATCTGTGTGTAATATAATTGAGAACACTGATGGTGAACATTTTTCTTTACAGGACCTCAAATTATTTCACAAAATTGTCAGGACCTTACATGCATACACAACCATGCATATAGATGTACACTTTCATAAATATACAGTCATTCTCAGGCATGCGTGCACAGTTGCACATTTAGAGCATGCAGCCCAACGTTAAGTATATCGAAATATAAGAACACACATTAAATATATTGCAGCTTTCTGGCCCTTATATATGGTGGATGCATTTGTTTTAATTTTCAAGTTAAGAAAAGAAATATACATGTTGACCCTGTCATGAATCTTGTGTCCTTGTAAATACCAGCTATCTTATATGAGCAAAAAAACAACTTCCTTCCATGTGAGGGGGGAAGTGCTTGTAGCCCAAATCAAGAAAGCAACCTAGGTTGACAATGCTGCTCCACCATAGATACAATACAGTGAGCAAGCATTACCACCCAAAGATAGAAATGTATCATTGGCAGGTACACAAGGTAAAGACAAAGGCAAAAAGTCTTTAAAAGAAAACCAATGCAGCCACTAAGCACTGGTAAGCTGCAATATATTATATTTTTGTTTTGGGGTCATATATACACTATAAGTTACAGTGCAGGTAAAGTCTTGCAACTCCATTAGTGTTTACCACACATGGGATGCTCAGTAGTATAACATTTATTTATTACAGGTACTTATATAGCGCTGTCAATTTACACAGCGCTTTACATATATAGTACATCAGAGTCCCTAACGCTCAAGGGGGGATACAATGTAAGGTCCCTAACTCACATTCATACATACACATATTAGGGCCAATTTAGACAGGAGCCAATGAACCTACCAGCATGTCTTTGGGAGTGTGGGAGGAAACCGGAGTACCCGTAGGAAACCCCACGCACGCACAGGGAGAACATGCAAACTCCAGGCAGGTGGTTTCGTGGCTGGGATTCAAACCAATGACCCTAGTACTTCCAGGTGGAAGTGCTAACCATATAGCCACTGTGCTGCCCACCACATAGTGGTAATGTTATTGCCTGCCTATGTGCTAAACATAATAAAAACTTCTGATTTGTCAGAAAAGTTTAAAAATTTACAGTACAGTTAAACATGGATTCGCAAATATATTTTTGGTTAGCCACTGGGGATCTATGTCTGTGTATTTATGGGTTTTATACAAATCTGGGCAGAGTGTATATTGTTAAATTGTATTCTTGTGTTATATAAACCTCATAAGAGCTCCGTAAGAATATTTGAAGTTCCCTTGATTCTCCAAGCTTCTTCTTACGGGCCTCTGACATATTCAAAAAGCTTCTTCTTCCTGGTGGAATAAAAATGCAATACTAGGATTAATGATTTCAGCAGAGAACTGAAATAATAGTTGTAACATTAGGGAAATGTGCATATTTACTGACAACTATGGTCTAAAATTTGTCAATCCTGAAAAAACTGTTAATGACAAAATATTGCACAGTTTCAATCATTGACTATTAAGGTTTACCATACACACAACAATATGTGTACAATCTCCTTTATATCTAACGCAAGTATGTAGTAGTGTGAGGGACTGTCTAATTGGATACAGATTGATTGTAGAAATAAATAAATATAATGGCGCCTTTGGAAAGAGAAAAATGTGGGTCACTAACTGATATACCAGCTGCAAAATCCACCATAAATTAATAAAGTGTGAAAAATAACACAAAAAATAATTTTGCTGCGCTAGTAAATAAATATTACAATATACCAGTGAACAAAGAAAATATAAAGATATTATCCATGTGAGTAATACTTATAAGTAGAGATGAGCGAAGAAATGAAAAATTCGATTCGACTGATTCGGGCGAATTCGTGGACAATATTCGATTCGAGTCGAATAAATTCGCTGTGAATTTAACTTAAAAAAGGGTGTTTCTAGGCTTCAGAGAGACTTAATATTAGTGCAGAACACACTGTACCTTTAATTTAAATGCCCTTGGAGTCTGCTGGGGAAGAGAAATAATACTGTCTGTCAGTATGACATGCAGATGAGTGCCGTCGATCTTAGAATCACTGCACACTTCACTCCTTTGGCCAGTCACGGGGCCAAAACCAGTGTTTGGAGCCACAGTGTGGCGGTGGAGGCAGCAGCAATGGGAGGCCATACAGCAACCTATGACAAAATGGAAACCAGCAGGAGCGTGAGGAGACCTGAAAGTGGCACATGGCAGAGTGGGAGCAATGGGAGGCGGTACAGGGACCCAGGTCACACTATGGGCCCAGCAGCAGCAGCGTGACCAGGCGGTAGGTTCCGGTACGGGGGGCCCATGGCCGATATGGGGCTATTGGTGGCACCTATGGAAGGCCTGTAATCTGCCAGCAACCTATGACAAAATGGACAACCGCAGGAGTGTGAGGAGATTTCAAAGTGGCACCATGGCAGAGTGGAAGCAATGGGGTCGCAGGCCGTACAGGGACCCAGGTCACACTGTGGGACCAGCATCAGCGTGAACAGGCGGTACGGGGGGCCCATGGCCGATTTGACCTCATTCATCCCATAGTCCTGCCGACTCACGAATAGCGTGGCCTGGCCTCCTCAAAGGGCGGCTGAGCAAGCGCAAGGTGTCACACATGAGTCTGAGCTTGCTATGGCTGACATCTAAGTTACACAGTGGTAGGAGTACCGTTATCCGCTTTTAACATCAGGAAATCTGTGATGGCCTT